AACAGCACAAAAGAAGACTGATAAGAATTAAGAATATACAATTGTAAAGTTTTCACAGTACAAGCAAAGCAGCATAATACTGACTCATGGTAGAACCAGTATGAACTAAGATACACAGTAAACAAAAAGAGCAGCCACTGGAAAAAAAAAAAAAAGAAATATTGAGAACAAATAATAAGTCTGTCATGGAGATAAAACAATCACAAAAATAATACAAAATTAGGCAGGAAAAAAAGAGGAATGAGGAAGAGATGGGACAAATAGAAAATAGCTAACAATGTAGTAGATTTAATGTAACTCTATCAATAGCTTTACTGAATGTAAAGGGTCTAAACACACAAATTAAAAACAGATTATCAAGCTTTCTTCAGGAAATCCAACTTTAAATATAAAAACATATAGGTTAAAAGATATACCAGGCAAACACTACATAAAAGAAAGCCAGAGTGATTATGGCAGTATCACACAAACTAGATTTAAGAACAGAGAATGTGAGGGCACCTGGGTGTCTCGGTTAAGTGTCTGACTTCAGTTAAGCATCTGCCTTTGGCTCAGGTCATGATCTCAGGGTCATGGGATTGAGCCCTGTGTCCGGCTCCCTGCTCAGCAGGGAGGGGAGTCAGCTTCTCCCTCTACCTCTACCTCTCCCCTCTTGTGCGCTTGTGCAGACACACATGCTTACTCTGTCTCTCTCTCTCTCAAATTAAAAAAAAAAAAAAAAAACATAAAAGAAGAAGAACAGAGAATGTGACCAAGGATAGAGAAAAACTGTAAAACAATAAAAGGTTCAGCCAAGAAGACCTAACAATCCTAAGTGTACACATATCTATGAATAGGCTTCCAAAATACATATAGACTCCTCACCTAGTATTTGACAGACCAAATAGACACAAAATTAGTAAAATTACAGAAGATCTGAGCAAACACTATTATCTACTTTGACTTAATTGATATTTTAACAAAACCACAGCAGAATACACATTCTTTTCAAGCACACATTCTTTTTAAAATAGATCATAATACAAACCTCAACAGTTCAGTAGAACTGTTCTCTAATCACTGCCTACCAAAAACTTAAAACTAGAAATAACAGAAAAATCTGTGAAATATTTGAAAATTTAAAAATGTATTTCTGGGATACCTGGGTGGCTCAAGTTGGTTAAACATCCAACTCCTGATTTCATCTCAGGTCTTAATCTCAGGATTGTGAGTTCAAGTCCCATACTGGGTATGAAGGCTACTTAAAAATACATATATAATACATATACTTCAAAATAACTCAGGAATCAAAGAGAAAGAAAAAAAATCAGAAAATATTTTGAACTAAACGAAAATGAAAATATATCAAAATTCATAGGATGTAGCAAAAGAAAGGCCAAGAAGCAACTTTATGACACTGTTCTTTTTTAAAAGGTGTCATGCTGATGATCTAAGCTCCAAACCTAAGAAACTAGAATAGAAAAAAAGGAACAAACGGAAGGAAGTAAATAAGTATAAAAGGAGAAATGAAATTGAATGCACAAAAATAGAGAGAATTCAATAAAACCAAAAACAAGTTATCTGAAAAAACCAAAAATACCAATACACCTGTATCCAGACTGACAAAAAAAGAGAAAATGAAGTAGGGCACATTACTAATGATCCTACAGATATGAAAACAATAAGGGAATATTACAAAACCTTTATGTCAACAGTTTATACAACCTAGAAAAACAGGCAAATCCCTAGAAATACACAAGCTACAAAAACTACAAAATCCACTCAAGAAGACATAAACTGAACAGTACTATATCTACCAAAGAAATTAAACAGTTTTAAAACTTAGTTGAAAAAACAAAGACAAAAAGCTCCACAACCACATGACTTCAGAAGGGTATTCTACCAAACATTAAAAAAGAAATAATACCAATTATACAAAAACTTCTCCAGTAAAAGGAAAAAAAAAAAAGAAACTTCCAACTCATGAAGTCAGCATTACTCTTATATAAAACACAGGTGAAGACATTAAAACTACATATAGACCGATATGCCACATGAATATAAATGCAAAATGCAAAAAAATTCTCAACAATGTATTATCAAATCAATCTTAGCAGCAATATAAAAAGGATAATACCCCATGATTAAGTGGGAGTCAGGTTTCTTCCTGAAAATGCAAGGTTGGTTTGACATTCAAAAATCAACCAATATAATCTGCAAATCAACAGAGAAAGAAAAAACATCATATATAATCTTATTAAATACAACAAAAACATCTGACAACATTCAACATCCATCCACAATAAATTAAAAAATCTCAGGAAACTAGGAATGGAAAGGGACTTCTTCAAGAGGATAAAGGGCATCTACAAAAAACCTATGGCTTAACAGGGAGTCCGGGTGGGTCAGTGGGTTAAGCTTCAGACTCTTGATTTCAGCTCAGGTCATGATCTCAGGGTGGTGAGATTGAGCCCTGCATCAGCCTCATGCTGGGCATGGAGCCTCCTTAAGATTCTCTCTCCCTTTCCCTCACCACCCAACTCCTACCTATCCTGTGCACACATGTGCAGGCATGTTCTGTCTAAAAGAAAAAAAAAAAAGAACAAAAAAGCCTATGACTAACACTTACATGTAATAGTGAAAGACTAAATGTTTTCCTATAAGATCAGGAAACATATAAGGATGTAAGGCAAGACAAAGTAATAAAAGAACTACACATAGGGAGCACAGGAGGTGGCTCATTTGTTAAGCATCTGCCTTCAGCTCAGGTCATGATCCCAGACTCCTGGGTTCCAGCTGCATCGGGTCTCCCCGCTCAGTGGGAAGCCTGCTTCTCCCTCTCCCACTCCCCCTGCTTGTATTGCCCTCTCTCTCAGTCTCTCTCTCTCTGTCAAATAAATAAAATCTTTAACCGAAGGAAAAAAAAAAAAAAAAACCCTACATAAATAAAATTGTTCTCCATACAGAGAAATGAAACTATTCACTGATGACATGATCATTTACAAAAGAAAATCTCAAAGAATCTATTAAAACCTATTTAAAAGCAACTAGAGGGGCGCCTGGGTGGCTCAGTGGGTTAAGCCTCTGCCTTTGGCCCAGGTCATGATCTCAGGGTCCTGGGATTGAGCCCCGCGTCAGGCTCTCTGCTCAGAAGGGAGCCTGCTTCCCCCTCTCTCTCTGCCTGGCTCTGTGCCTACTTGTGATCTCTCTCTCTCTGTCAAATAAATAAATAAAATTTTTAAAAAAATAAAAGCAACTAGAATTAGTGAATTTAGAAAAATCTCAGAGTACAGGTCAATATAAAAATCAACCGTATATTGCATAATGTGAACGCTGCTCTTAATATCACTGAAATGTAATGGTAAATGAAAAACTTTGTTATGTACAATTTATAATATTTTTTAAAATGACAGCATCAGGAAGTTATTCGGTGATAAACAAGATGTACTAAGCCAGTTGAAAATTTAAGTCTTTATTTAAACTTTCTTTTAAATCAATTGTATTTATATATACCAGCAATAAAAAATTAGAAATTGAAATAAAAAATATGACTTGTAATAGGACCAGAAAGTATAAAATACGTATAAATCTACCAAAATATGTAAAATATCTATATGCTAAAACTAGAAACACCAAGAAAGAAAATGAAAGAACTAAGTAAATGGGTAGGTATGTCATTGTTCATGGTTTGGAAGGGTTCATATTTGTTAAGAAACCAATTTTCTCTAAAGTCATCTATGGATCCAAGGTAATCCCAGTCAAAATCCCAGTAGAATATTCTGTAGAGATCAACAAACTGATTCTAAAATAGAAAATAAAGTAAATGGGATAGCCAAGACAATTTTGAAAAGGAACAAAGTTAGAAGACTCGTACAACCTGATTTCAAGACTTTCCATAAAGCCACAATAATGAACAGAGTGTGTAGTTCACTCTGTTTACAGAGTATAGTTCACTCACACAGTGTGGCAAAAGGACAGACACAAACAGCAAGGTTAGAGGTCGACTAACACCTATATGGTTAAGTGATTTCAACAAAAGTGCAGTCAGTTAAACAGAGAAAAGGAGAGGCTTTTCAACAAATGTTAGAATTTTTTAATATGCAGAAGGAAAGAAAGCAAGCTTAACCTATACCTCACAGCATATATAGAATATAACTCAAAATGAATTACAGACTTAAAGTAAAAGTAAACCTTAATATTCTAGAAGAAAACATAAAAGAACATTTTTGTGACCTTGGATTAGGCAAACATTTCCTAAATACCAACAACAAAGAAACCCATCTTTACAACACATAGAGCAAAAGATGAATTTTCTTAAATTTACAAAGAGCTCTTACAATCATTTAGACCAACGAACCAGTCAAATATAGAAATTCCTCAGGAAACAAACAGAAATGACTTATAACCTCTCTTCCTTTAGTTTCTCTTTCTCCCACTCTCCTTCAAACCCACGTGAGCAGTAAAAAGGGATTTCCCACACCCGCTTCCCCATCACAGCAAGTTTCAAATCAATCAATTGTATTACATACACTAAGACTTCCAGAAAGGAGAATTCAGTTGTTGCTGTGTTTTTTTTTTTTTAATTTATAGCAAAAAAATCTCATCTGATTTCCAAACAGGCAGTTTTCATAATTAATTTTTGGTCTTAGGAGGATCCATATTAATTCTTCCTGATTCATTCCTAATTCTGATTTTATTAATCACCCCCCGACCTTGTTTCAACTGTGTAATTAATCGCAGCGGCAAAATCCTGGAGGACAGCTCCTGCAAAGGAGAAGTGGTGTATACACAGATAGAATCTGTGATGAATTTATGTTTTACTAAAATTCTCAAAACGGAAAAATCATTATTCCCAAGGACAGTTCTACCTGAAGCATCCAGTTCTCTCAGCAAATCCTTACAAGAGTTCAATTATTAAACAATTAAGAAAAACAATATGCTGTTAGGGAAATCTTTCATTTTATTAAAGTCCATTCAGAGCCCCTTCCCCCCAAACCAAGTGTTTCACTTGAGTGGCTCACCTCTTCTCCTGAAAGGTAATAAGCGGCAAGCAGGCCTCCAATAAATCGAATGTTGACTTCAAACACAGACACCTCTGAATTCTGTGAAGACATGTTGAAAATATTCACATATACATAAAACTTCCAAATTTTCCAAATATTTTCAGTACTTCCTACGTTTCTCACAAATACCCTGCAGAGAATGTTTTTCTCCATTTTCCACACCCTCATCTCTCATGTAATTGCAATCTCATTCACCATTTATTAGTTACTGAAACTCCTCTATTATGCCACCACAGGTTCCTACTGGCTAAAATCATTTTTATGTATAGTACCTATCATTGTGAAATTGTCAATATATCTGATGCTCTTGACTATTCTCTCTTCATGAAAGCCTCCACTTCTTGAATTCTGGAACAGCAAGTCTCTCTGTTGGGTCCTTTTTCTTCTGTTCTAGTTACTACATCATACTGTCCCATTTTTACTTCTATTTCTCATGAATTTAAAAAATTTTTCCTCATATATATAAAAATTTAATAAATGTTAAAAGAGGGACCAAAAATGATAGGATGATGGATTACTCAATTAATTATGTTGAGAAAATGGACTCCTAGGTTAGAAATTAATTTGGATACTAATTTCAGATATCTTTCTCTCAAAATGAAATCCAAATAATGTAGAAATAAATGCAGAGAAAATTACTATAAAAAAGCAGAAGAAAATGTAGATAACATATATAAATTTCCTTGACAAAACAGGTACTTTATAATCATAAAATCAACTATACTGACAACAAATTACGATAGAAAGACTTGAATTTCCCCAAAATGAGAATTACCTATAAGGAAAAACAATTATGAACAAAATTAAAACGCAAACAAAAAAAAAAAAGGAAATTTGGCACAAATATAGCAGTAGTAATAACCTTAGCATATAAAGTCTATATGCTTGTATTTAGATAAAGAGACAGATATTGCTGAGAAAAATTCTAATACATGGAAAGAAAAGTAGAAGTGGCAAAAAACATGACCAAAGAATCCACAGGATATATACAACTGACTAGTATAGTAACATTCATAACTAATTTTTTAAACAAAACTTAAAAGGAAATATATATTATCCAGAAGTCTTTCTAACATTCATAGGCAGAACACATAATTTGCTAACCCAAGTGTGTATCTAATATACAATTTTCACTATGGAATTTTTTTAATTTAAATTCAACTAGCCAACATATAGTACATCATTAGTTTCAGATAGTGCTCAATACATTATCAGTTATGTATAACACCCAGTGCTCATCACATCACATGACCTTCTTATTGCCCATCATCACCCAGTTACCCCATCACCCCACCTACCTCCCCTCCAGCAACTCTGTTTGTTTCCTATAGTTAAAGAGTTTTTCATGGCTTACCTCCCTCTCTGATTACTTCCTGGAATTTTTTAGTAACAGATCTATCATCTCACCCCATCCACGACAGCAAAATGCTTTATATCACTTCATATATTCCCAACATATAGTATATTGCAGGGCACAGAACAGACATTCACTAAATACAGAGAAGCCGCGAAAGAGGGAGAGAGAGCAGGCCTCTATCACTCACCGAAATAACCCTCTTATCAGTTTCCCTGATTTCAGCCTTTCTCTCCTCCTTACACTCCATTTATGCAGCACCCTGTAGGCAGAGTGAACCTCTTACATTTTAAGTCAGGTTAGGTTACTGTTGTGTAAACTTTTACAACGATTTCTGGTTACACTCAGAGCAAAATAACTGTAAGACCCAATGTAATCAGATTCCCCACTACCTGTCTGACATCATCTCCTACCAATAGGAGTCCTCTCAACTTACTGTATTATTACCAAATGGGTCTACTTGCTGTTCTAGAATTACCGAACTCATTCTTGTATGTCAGTTTTACCCTTAACCTACAGGTCTCTGAATAGGAAGCTTTTCCAAACACACCATACAAAATAATGAAGTCAGTCCTCATCACTAATCTCTCTTAACCTGCATTATTTCCCCAATTAACACTTACCACCATTTAATTACATATATTTCTTTATTTGTAAAATTCAGAACTTCCCTCACAAGAGAGGTAATATAAGAGTTCTAGAGGGAGAGAAGGGACAAAACGGAAGACAGGCATTATTCAAAGGAATAGTGATGGTGAATCTTCCAAAACTGATGGGGGGGGGGAATGGATTAAAACAAGGGGAAAACAAGATAGATTACTTGTGAAAAATTAGACTGACAGCATGATGTCCAATAGTATAACAGGAAAAGGAAGACAATGGAACTGTACCTTTCAAAGCTTAACAGAAAATAACCAACCTCCAATCCTATACTCAACTATAATATCCAGTACGAGAGAGCCTTATATCCACATGGCTTCCACTGGGTCTCTTCTCAGAAACGTCATCGTAGCAGAGAGTCCTTCACTAGCCACCCCATGTAAAATGGCAACCCCACACTACTTGCTCCAATCCTACCTGCTCTTCTTTACAGTTCTCCACAGCATTTATCACCATCTGATATACTATATATGAGTTGAAGATTTATTTACTGTTTTCCTCCCAAAATTAGAGTAAAAACTCAAGGAGAAATAAGACCGTTTTGCTCATTACTGTATCCACAAAAGCCAGAACAGTGCCTTTCCCAGAGGAGGCATTCAATAAATTTATTTATTTATTCCTTCATTCAGTCATCCATTCATTCATTAATCTAGAAGTTTCAAATACAAGTTGGAACCAGCTAGACAACAATTACACATAAGACAAGAGGGAGATGAGCTAAATTAAAGCATTCTAAGAGACTTATGTTCTTCAGAAGGATAAAGAAACTGATTAATTTTAAACTTAAACAATATAAATATAAAATTTTAAGGATAACCCCAGAATGAATGGAAATGACAAGTATAAAAGTCAATGTAAAAGAGGGCAAACGAGACATAAAATAACTTAATCTAAAATAAAGCAGAAAATAAAAACAATGAAAGTACAATAATAACATAGGTTGAAAAACAAAGATGGAAGGCCCAGCTCCAAATATATGTTATCACAACAAATGTAAACATTCCAAACTTGACAGTTAAAAGACTCCAAGACTGGATAAAAACAACAAAATCCAAAAACACATTACATGCAAAATATACAGCTAAAATATATGACACAGAAAGGCTAAAAGTAAAGGGATGGTAAATGATTGTGCTGATTATTAAGCTCTTTTGTCCTCATATTTTCAAATCTATCCTTCTATAGTCTACTTGGTAAACTGGAACTGAACTCTACAAATGTGTGTCTCATTAGCCAGCTGGCTCCCTTATGGGCCATGCCAACAGGAGGTTTTAAAAAGATAATACAAGGCTGGAGGAAGGAGAAAGGACTTATTCCTTCCAATTTACTTCTGGTTTCTGACAGTGTCAAATCAGGCATGGTTCTTTGCCCTGGCAGTGGCAGTTGGTTCCACATTACAATTCCGCTGCCACACACACACGTTCTCCAAATCAGCCTCACTGTGGCCCACCAGCTAGGGACCCTCTCCTCAGAGGTCTGAGTCCCAGCTCTAAAAAAGCCCTTTAAAAGAGCTCCTACATACCAGCAGCAGAGTTCCAAAGTACTAAATTTTTGTAATCCCCACTTCTTCCCACTATTCTGACAGTCCCAAGGAGGTAGATATTTACTGTAGTTACTCCCTCTTGTAATACCACAATGTTCTCTTTCTGCCTTTTCAGTTCCCTGTTATTTGGTTAACAATTCTAAACATTAAATCCTCTAATTAAAATAAATGGCACGTACAGTTCTGGTTCCTGACTGAGTGAACTGATACAATGATATATCAGCGGATGGATTATTAGGCCTAATAAAGCTGACACGTTAATGGACAGGAGTATTTGAGACTCTACAAGACGCCAATTCTCTCCAAATTAATCTGTAAATTGAACGCGATCCTCATCAAAATGTCAACAGTACTCCAGAGCTTACAGGAACAAAGAATTGACAACTGCTAAGATAATTTCCTAGTAGAACAAAATCGGATATCAAGCTTCCTATAAAAATATTGTAGTTAAGACAGTTTAGTATTGATGTAAGCATAAAGAAAAAAAGTGAGCAGAAAAGAATCAGCTCAAATGACTAATGTGGTATGTACAAATAGCAGGGAAATAAATGGCTAGGATCAACTAATAGTTGTCTATCTCACCCTAAATCAATTTCATATGGATTAAAGTCCTAAATGCAAAAGCCAAGCTTTAAAACACTCAGAATGAAATATAGGACTGTATCTTCAATAAGAGTAGGGATTTCTTAAATAAGATACAAAAAACACATCCTATAAGGACCACATAGCCAAAGGGGTGGGGGGGGACTATTTCTCAGCCATCCTTTACACTAAGGCTGGGCTGTATGACTCTCTGAGCCACTCAACAGTATACAACCAAAACTGGGGTAACCGATACCTGTAAAGTAATATAGGAGAGTCATGTATCTTTCCCTTTTCTGAAACTGGAAGGTTTATCTGCCTTATTGAGGAACCATCTAGGACCGTGAGGCTGGAGCTACAAACTGAAGTTGGCAGAGCAACAAGACAAAGGATCCCAGACCCTTGAGGAACAAGGAGCTACCCAAGCCAACCCTAAACTGCTCATCTCTGCACTTAGTTTACACGAAGGAAATAAACGTGTATCTTGTTTAAACTATTTTATATTAGATTTTCTGCCACTGACAGACAAATCTAAATTGAACTGATAATAAAAATTATTCTAACTGATATATGTCCAAAATGCTAGAATATAAATAATCCACTTTCATGTGGGTAGCATCAGGAAAGCATGAGAGAAGAAATAATTATGGATCTAAATCACAACTTGAGTGATGCAGTCTGCCAAAGAGAAAAACACACAGTGAAAGAGCGACTTCTGACCACAGCAAGAAAGAACAGCAAGCACAGATATCATCAGAGATGATAATGAATATGACAAAATAGGCCATACAACTTGTGGGTGAATACTGGTAATAATGAAAATAATTCTTACCATTTACAAGCACTTAATATGTACCAGATTATGTCAAATAATCCTTACAATACTGCAGTGCGATAGTAATTTTATGACAGGTTTAGAAAAAATAAAGAACTTTCCCAAGTCCCACCGTGAGAATGTAGCTGTGCTGGGCTTCAAACTTTAGCCACACAACTTAACAACTACACCAAAATGCTGGAAGAAGGGGCACTGGCCTAGTTATGAAGGTTCATCAAAGCTATACCAGATTATTGAATCTTTAAAAAATAATAAAACACTTATTGTTTATAAACTAGTTCATGTTTTCCTGGTATTTCTACCCCCAAGTGTTTTTTTCTGTAAGTATGCCTTAACACACTGAACACACTGCCTCAAAAAAAAAAAAAAAAAAGAGAGTGAAAGGAAGATGGTGAAAAAGGGCTGTATTTTACGCAAAAGTTAAATGACAATCCTAATTCCGAAAGAATAGAGGGCATTTAGGATTTCCTTAAACTGGGAGTGTAACGCTCAAAACTACTCCAGTTAGACACTGTCTTTTCAAGGTCAATCAAAGAAGTCATCAATTGTATACTCACCACACTGAAATCAAGGTTGTCTTCAATCCATTTTTGCCCATCTCGGAACTCATCATGAAGTCCCATGATATAAAGGGTATCCAAAGCATCTACTATGGTAGCACCCATTTGCGAACTTCCTGTATTTGGGGTAGAGAGAAAACTCATTAATAACACGCCCTTCATATAAGGTCTGTTTAAACTTTTTAATATATAAAAAATCAAAGTAGAAATATAAGGACCAAAAATAACCCCTAATATGGTTCACTCTTCCTTAAGAACAATAACACTGTTCAACATATTTTCCTAAAGATGACATGTTGACAACTAAAAGGAAGGTAAAGGAAAACTAATATAGTAATTCTCCTTTCATTTTCTTCCTGGTCACAGTATGAGATATCTATCTGTTTAAGTCCAAAAAAAAAAGGGAGGGGGGAATTAATTCAAGAAATGGGGAGGGTGGTTCAAGATGTCAAACCAAGTCACAGGACAACTGTGCTGTTCTGGAATAAATGCATAGAATATAATAGTAAAAATGCAATAAGCCTAGATGACCACAGTAAAACAAACTATAAAAACCTTACCAATCAAAAGCAGGTTAACCATACTGAAAAAGAAAGTAAGTATGAAACAAAAATATGAGTAGAAAAAATCAAAATAGTAAGATTTACACCCATCTTCAAGAGAGAATTCTGATGTTAAAGGGAACAATTTCGGGAGGGAAAAATTTAATTCAACAAAACCAGTTGATAGCAAAACTAGACACTATAAACACATGACAAGAAAACAGGTCAATCTTACTAATGAAAAGAACTGCAAAATCATGAATACAATCTAAAACAAATCTAATAGCATGTAGGAGAGTAAATAACATGGAGCAGATGAGTCGTCCCCAGCCCCAGGAACACAATTATTTCCACCTTCTGAGAATGAAAATTATCCACAGTTGTTATCATCTATATTGAAAGGGCTTTATTACTATCTTCATCAACATGAGTTTACTGGTACCCTGGCCCAGAAGGATAAAAGTTGTAAAATAATTTTACTTTTCATTCCAGGAACTTCCTGAAAGACCTATTAAAACTCTGAACTGAATACCTCCAAATTCTCTGCTTACCAGTCCTAAAGTGTTATATTATGGCCCTCACCCAATCATAACCAAGTACCCCCACCCCAACTGAAAGGCCCATCTTAACCTAACTGTGTCCTCCTCCATCTGACAGGCTACTAAGGCTCTGATGAGGTAGTGATCTACTGTACCACAGTAAAGCATTAAACTCAGCTTTGCCTTATCAGCAAGTCACATTTGACACTGCTTAGTTACTATTCTTTCTTTTCTTTCTTTTTTCTTCCATCCCTTTTTCCACTGGGTAAACAGTGCTTTCTTCTGACACTTTAAAGCTATACAAATTCATTCTTAAAATGTCCCTAACTTACATCACATTTTCTTCTTCACATGATTCTAATAAATTTTTCAACTTATCAATAAGTATTATCTTTCCACTATAAAGACAAGCACTCCATCACACTCTGATAAGCTCCTGGGTCTTCTCCCCACTTAAGTTCCCTAGACATTAACTAGAATATTTGTTCTGGGTTATTACAGACATACTTTCCTTTTACTTTTCTTTGTTCCTCAGCTTTTTATTAAGATGATAAATACTTTATCAAGCCTTTAATCACCCATATATCCCTCTCTCTCCCATAATCACTTAAATATGTACCTTTTTATGTATTCCATCCAAAATATTACCATGCTTATTTTAAATCCTTAAGAGTACCTATTTCTGTACTTATTTCAACTTTTATAGGTAGTTATGCTTCAGTTCTCTAGTTATTTATAGAGTCCTGGGAATGCATACTGCTCTAAGGTGCAGACAACTCTGGAACGGAAAAAGGCCTGACCCACCTGCTCTGTACTAATTCCGGTTGGTTTCACAAGAAGGTTTGTACCATGGGCAAACAGACCAAAGAAGAGAAAAGCAAAACTGATGTTCCTGGCTACCCCTATGATTGTTTACCTAGACGACCCAAGATTTCAAACAGAAAAAGTTAAAAATCTAAAACTACCCTTGGGACAATGCCCCTGGGTGGGTCAGTGGGTTAAGTGAGTACCTTCAGCTCAAATCATGATCCCAGGGTCCTGGGACAGAGCCCCACATCGGGTTCCCTTCTCAGCATGGGAGTCTGCTTCTACCACTCCCTCTCCCTGCTCATGCTCTCTCTCTCTCTCTAATAAATAAAAAAAATCTTTAATCAATTAGTCAATCTGCCCTTGGGTCAAAGAAGTGAAACACAATACTGAAGAATCTATAAAATATTAATAAAATTTTATGAGAATGCAGGATTCAACTAATGCAGTTCTCAGAAACTCATAACTTGAAAATGTTATGTTATTTAATGAGAACAAATGAAAATAATTGAATTCACAACATTCTACCAAGGGAGGAAAAAAAAGAATGATAAACCTGAGGAAAAAGTTCAAAGAATCAGAAAAGTTAAAGGCAAAAAATAATTACAAATTTAAAAAACTGTCAAAAATATAAATTCAAGAGACAGTTCTATTATAAGAACTACATTATGAATCTACCACTAACCAAAGTTTAAAAAGTACCCAGGAAATGCAAAAACACAAAATAAGAAATGACTGCATCAACAGAGAGGAAACTAAGAAAACTATAAAAAGCCCATTTTAGTCATACCATACCAATAAATTTGAAAAAATGAGTGCAACTGATGATTTTCTATGAATATATATCATATATTTAATACTATATATAGTATCACATAAAATAAAAATATCACTTATTTTTATATGTAATGAACTTTGACTTAGAAACTTTTCTAAGTTTGAAAGAAAACTTTGACGTAGAAAAGAAACTCTGACTTAGAAACCTTGACATAGAAAGAAACATAAAATCTAGACAACAAAAAAGACCAAGAAACAGAAGAAATTGAGAAGTTCTCAAAGAACTACCAACCGTAAAAGTAGACTCTGGAAGTTCCACAGAATAGATTCTACTTCAATTTTAAGAACAGTAACTCCTACATAAATTTTTATAGAACATAGGAAGAGATCTTAAAATTCAATTTACAGATTCTGCATGCCACTGATGTAAAAATCTCAGTAAGAAAAATAAAACTACTCTCTGATCTCATTTGTGAGCATCATGGAAATATTTAAGAGTGAAATTGCTGAGCTGTATGGTAAGGTTATTTTTAACTTTACAACAGACTGACGAACAGCTCTCCAGAGTACACCATATATACACCCAGCAATAATGCAGAAGAGTTCTGGTTGCACTACCATCCTTGTCAACATTTGATATTGCTGCCCTTTTTAATTTTAGACATTCTAATGAGAGTGTAGGATATTGCATTATGGGTTGAATTTTAATTTCTCTAGCAACTGACATGCTAATTGGCTATTCATAAATCTTCTTTGGTCTATAAATCACTTATATATTCTAAATATATTCATGTGTGTATACCACAAATATTCTCTACTTTTCACTTTAATATCTTTTGGAAAGCAGAAATTGTTAATTTTTATGAAGTCCGATTTATCCATTTTTTCCCCTTTTAGAAAAGGTTTATGCTTTTTGTATTCTAAAAACTTTTTAAGATTTTTACTTATTTATTTATTTATTTGACAGAGAGAGACACAGTGAAAGAGGCAACACAAGTAGGGAGAGTGGGAGAGGGAGAAGCAGACCTCCCGGCAAGCAGGGAGCCCGATGTTTAGAACTCAATCCCAGGATCCTGAGATCATTACCTGAGCCGAAGGCAGATGCCCAATGACTGAGCCACCCAGGTGCCCTAAAAACTCTTTTCTTACCTCAAAGTCACAAAGATTTTTTCCAAAGCTTCCTACCAAAAAGTTTTACATTATCCGCTTCCAGGTTTAGACCCATGATCCATTTCAAGTTAATTTTTATGTACAATGAAAAGTCGAGTTTTGTTAATTTTCTACACAAATACGTACCTGATCCAGCACAATTTACTGGACAAACTATCTTTTTAGCCAATGAATTACATGAGCACCTCTGAATCAACCATGTATGTGCAGACCTAGTTCCGTTCTTTTCCACTGATCTCTCTGTCCTTAGGCTAAAATAAGAAGACTGCATCATTAAGACTGTCCTCATTACTGCAGCTTTACAGTAAACCAAAAAATCAGGTAATATAAGTCCCTCAACTTAGTTCTTCTTTTAAAAAATTATTGTATTATACATGCTTTGCATTTCTATATAGAATTTTCAGTCAGCTTATTAATTTATGCAAAATCATTTTGATTGGGATTTCTTTAAATTTAAAAATGAATTTTAAGAGAACTGATATCCCCATAGTACTGAGTATTCCAAATCATGAACATGGCATTTCTCTCCATTTATTTAAGTCCTTTGAAATTTCTCTCAATAATCAGTTTTAAGTGTATAGGTTCTGCCCCTATTTTGTTAAATTCATCCACATGCAGTTCATATTTTTTGATGCAATTACAAATGATATGATTTTTAAATGACACTATGACTGCTCATTGCTAGTATATAGAAAAACAATTTATTTTGTACATTGACCTTGTACCATGACCTTACTAAATTTTATTCAATCGAGTACTTTGTTGGTGTTGATTCCTTAAGATCTTCTTCATGGACAATCTCATTAGCTATAAGTTCTGCTTCTTCATTTCCAATCTTTACACCTCTTTTGTATTTTTCTTACATTAGTATACTGGCTAGGACCTCAACTCCACTGCTACACAAAAGTAAGAGAGCAGACATCCTTGCCTGGTTCATAATCTTAGGGGAAAACATCGCATGTTCAAATATTAAGAATGGGGCAAACTTTTTCCATTTATTTTTGGGTATCTGTGTGTCTGTGTGTTTTAATGCCTTTCTTTAATCATACTGAGTAAGTTCCCTTCTATGACAGTTACCTGAGAACTTTAATCATGAATCAATCTTGAGTGTTGCTAAATCAGTTGTCTGCATCTACTGAAATGATCATAAAGGTTTTTCTTTGATTCCCATAATATTATTTTTTTAAAGATTTTATTTATTTACTTGAGAGAGAGCAGGTGAGCACAAGCAGCGGGGAGCAGGTTCCCGCTGAGCAGGGAGCCCTATGTTGGGCACAATCCCAGGACGCCGAGATTTTAACCTGAACCGAAAGCAGATGCTTAGCTGACTGAGCTACCCACAT